AAGGTGAAGGTGTCTGGGGCGTTGAAGTTACAATGCCGGCACTGGTGCACCTTGTTCCCCTTGTGTGTTTCTGCATGTTTCTTCAACTCTGAGGGCCTGTGAAAGCCTTTCTCACACACATCACACTGATGAGGGAAGTCCTTGGTGTGTACAGAGATAATGTGTCGTTTCAGGTCACTGGAGTTGGTGCTCTTGTGCTCACAGTGTGGGCACTGGTGGGTCTTGTGGCCTTGCACCATCTCTATGTGACGCTGAAGTTCCCGTGCATCTGCATAAGCTTGAGGACAGTGGCTGCACTTGAATGGCAGATCAGCACCGTGCTTGCTCTTAATGTGAGTCTTTAGGTTGGACTGATCTGCACAGCGGAACTCGCAGTGCGGGCAGTGGTAGGGCTTCTCACCTGTGTGGGTCCGCATGTGTTTCTTCAGCTCTGATGGATGGCGAAAACCTTTGGCACACTCAACACACACATGAGCAAAGTTCTTACTGTGCACAGCCAGCAGGTGACGGTTGAGCAGACCCTGTTCTGCCGTCTCATAATCGCAGTACTTGCAGTGATGCAGTTTGGGCTCTCTGTCTTTGACGATGAGCTTGTCAGAGCCCAGGGGGCTGGACTCATGGTAACGCCGTGTGTACTCTGTGTATTCTGGAGAGCGCTCACAGTTGTGACTCAGCAGCTTATGACTCTCCAAGTGGTTGTGGAAACTGACCTTCTTGTTGGTGGTGAAGTCACAGTCTGTACATTGGTACTTCTTCTTGAGCAGGTGGTCCGGGTGGTTCTTCATGTGGCATTTGAGGAAGCCCCGTGAGCGAAACTTCTTTCCACATATGTGACAGGGGTAGACGGTCAAAGGCATTCCATCTGGTCCAATGATCACAGCTGGAAGAAATGATTGATATAAAATAAGTTATAATGAACAAATGTTTAACAAAATCAATGGAATGTGCTTATTGTTAAATTAAACAAATCACCTGATTCAACACAAACAAAAGGCCGAACATCACAAGATTGAATGCTGTTCATACCAGTCTGACACTGTCGTGTATCTCCTTTCTTCTTTTTCTTAGGTTTTGGTTTGATTGTACGGTTAGCACTGAGCCCTTCTCGGATTTGCAAAAATGGCGTTGAGCCTCCATTCTTCACCTGATCAATTGTGTTACCTGCACAGACAGATTACTTTATCAACAGGATGTGAAACTTTTCTTTGTGACACGATACAAAGGGTTTTCTGTTTTGAAGTATCATATTTGTTTTACAACTGCCAAGATATAGGCAAAAGAAATCTAAAACTAAGATGGACGCACTTCAGTCTCTTCTGACTAATCTCTCCAGTTTGACACTCTCTTACTGAGAACAAGTCAAAAACATGTCTGACAAAACTGACTAATTTTTAGTTCACAGAGGAACATACTAATGTCATCATCGTCATCCTCATCACTGTCATCCTCATCATCCTCTTCTTCTTTTGGATGGTTCTTGACTGCCATGTACACCATCTTGTCACGGCCAACTCCGAGTCTGCCTGATGATGCAGCTTCAAGGTCAGGATGGCCGTTCTGGTAATCATCCTCTGTTATCACCTCGGTTCCTCCTGAAAAAACAAACCTAATGTTTTTTACAATGTAATTTACAAGAAAATAATCTAAGTTTAAATTTTGTAGATGTGAATTAGTTAATTACCTAGATCATCATCTGCTTCAGCTTTGAAGATGTAGACTTTGATGACCTCGGAGCCGTCGTCCTCTTTAGATTCCTTGTCTTCCATCACCTCAGTGCTGATCTCAAGGGGAGTATCTCCAATGTCCAGCTTCTCTCCCACCTCATCTACTACAGTAACACAATACGTTTTGGTTATCAAAAATTTGGAGTAATAAAACACGCACTTACACAAATGTAGTTTGCTATGAATTCATAAGAAAAACTGTCTTACAGGAGATCATGAGGTAATCCTCCGAACTGCTTCTTGCATCATCGTCCTCATCTGTCTGCAAGGGAACAGCCTCTGTTGGCAGCTGCTCATGGATTATTGTCTCAGCATTAGCTTCCGTCACCATCAAACCTTCTGATACAAGCTGATGGTCCAGTGTATTGTCCTGGTGCTCAGACAGAAGCTCTGCCACAAACACCTGGTCTGGCATGTCATCGTGGTGGTGGTTTGAGTCCTGGATGAGGTCTGAAGTCAGGACATGATGGTGATGATGGGGATCCAGTGTTTCCTCTATCGCGACCTCTGTGCCCAGAATGTTCTCAGGCATGATCACGCTGTGTTGCGAGGAAACTATGTCTTCAGTGGTCATTTCATGGGCCTCCACTACTTGAGATTGAAGACTTTCTACATCTACTTCTAGACCCTCCACAACCTCAGCTTCTAAACCCTCCACTTCCACCTCCTCCTCAAGCCCCTCAACAACGTGGGCCTCAAGGTCCTCAACATCTACTTCGGTTTCCAGGCCTTCAACCACCTCTGCTTCGAGACCCTCCACTTCCACCTCTGCCTCAAGGTCCTCAACAACCTGAGCCTCCAGCTCTACAACATGTGTCTGTAGCTCCTCGACCACTTCTGCCTCCAAGCCCTCGACGTCTGCATGTAAGCTTTCCACCACTTCAGTCTCCAGTCCTTCCACAACCTCAGTCTCCAGTCCATGAACCACCTGAGTTTCTAGGCCTTCCACCTCAAGTTCATGTTCCAGGAGGATGCCTTCATCCGTCATCACATCAGACAGAAGCATACCCTCGGGCACAGACACCACAATGTGCTCCCCGTCAATATGGGCAAGACCCCCCATGCCAGCAACTGTAAACACAAGACAGAGACAGGTACATGACTAAAGGTTTCAAGCTACTAAATGATAATAAATGCCCAAATGTAAGTCATTCTAGCTTTTGGAACTACACAAAAGATGTCTTGGCATCTTTGCACACATTTGAGAGTGTATCACCTTCTTGTTTCATCTATGCCATTAATCGAATATTCTAAATAGCAATTGCACAAGTGAGAAATGTCAGATGACATATTTTAGAGCGCTGAGCACAATATTTTCCACTTAAGGGGTATTTTGCCTTGGACTGTATGTTGCATATTGGCATTAACTACTTTGGAAACTATGATTATAACCATATATTACTTGACCACCTACCAAAGTCTTGCATGATCATAGCATGGGGCATCTTCAGCTCCTGAGTGTGAAGCTCCAACACCCCTCCTCCTTGATCCATGTCTTCACTCAGAAAAATGACTGAAAATTGCATGCTGTGTTAGCTCTTTACGTTCACTTTGTCAGTTTGCACCATTAGAATGAAAGTGAATGCAAAAATGGACATTGTTTTGATACATACCTTCACATTTGATGACAAACGCTTACAATAAAACCCATTAGATAGTTGATGTGATTCCTCTCATCAAGGTTATTAATCCCCCCTAAAAAACAAACAAACAAAGAAAACAATTAAAACTAACTGGAGAACAGAAGACAGGCCATAAATCACTTCAAAGATTTTTTAAAAACAAAATGTGTACATTGAGGACTGCAGTTGTTTATTTGACCACTGGCTCCATCCATTGCCCGAGAAGAGTACTACAGCCTGCCTCAACCTACCGACATGGAGCTTTACACCTGAAGCTGGTCTGATGGCTGCAGGAAGCCCCGCTGAAACAAAGGGCTGACCCGCCCAGTTTGCATTAGGACGACCAGTACCGCGACAGCAACTTTAACAGCTCTTTAAATGAGCCATCTACTTGTTTATGAAGAAGGAAAATAAATGTCATCACATGACTTTTTTTTTTCTCCAACATATCTGCAGTGGTCTGTTATGGCGTCCCTGATTTCCACAGACAAATCGTTTGAAAAAAATCAACCTGGACACTTTGCTTACAACGTTATCAATTTTAAAATACGTCTTGTGTTAGGCGCTTGTTTATATTAAACTACACAGGCTCGGAATTTATGGCCGCCAATGAAAGTACCGCAGACATTATGCAATGCATTCTTTGCGCGGCTACCGCCCTCCACCCACTGGAGCTAACTAGCAGGAGAGCTAGGGCTTCTACCCTCAACGCCATTTTGTGTTAGCACATAAGCTAACCCGAGGGATGCGACAACCCGTATAATTCCCTCGTCGTGAAACTCTTATTTCACACGACGGAACAATACAAGTGAAGATTTCTACCCAACACAATAAACTAATGTGTGCACAGCGATTATATCCCCGCGTGTTTCTTGAGTACGTGCGACGACGACCGTCCATTCGGCTAGCTAGCGTGCTAAGCTAACAGAGGCAGCTTGTGCCGCATTATCTTCCATGTTGTTTTTCGAAAAGGATGAAAGAGGCCCGCTACGGCCGACTGGGCCTTTGTGTCTAATTCCACCTACACTACTGACTGATTCAAAATAATTTTACCTGAATACGTCGTCTTCTGACTCTATCGGTGTATCTCCCTCTTCTCAGTTTTGTCTGTTATTGTTTTGGTTTATTTTTGACGGTAAGCTAAGTGCGGCCTGCAGTTTTGGATCCCCGGGCACCCTTTGCTAGGCCTCGGCCAATCAGCTTGCTTCCTGACAAGCAGAGGGAGGGCGGGGGGCAGACAATGCGTGGCCTCGTTTACCGCTGATCCCTTACTATTTGCGTCATGCATATGAGAGCAGAGTTACATTACACTGACATTCTCTAAACGGGACCGTATTTGCGGGCGGCTCTGAGACACAACATTGATCTTTTAGCAGATTATCATTTTTTTTTTTTTTTTTTTTTTTAAATCTTATTGCAGACTGCGCTTGCAGACTTTGTATGCGCAGATGAGGCCTGTAGGCCATTTTGTCACATGGGGGTGGGTAGCGTCAAGCAGAGACACATTTGAGAAGCGTTTGCAAATACACGCAGGAAATGCTGCTGTCACCGCCTTTACTGCAGATGCACCACAGTGTGACTAATTACCCTTTGATGAAATAACACACCACGAATTTTGCATTAATTTGCTAAAAAATAAACAGTAATACTGCAATACAGTTTCAGAGTAGACTTTAATATTAATTTTCTCAACAGCATTTCATTTTCAGAGGCACTCTGCATCAGGGTGCATAGCTGTCTAAGGCAGTGGCCTTCGTGCATAAACATTTTCTTTTTTTTTTTTTACAGTGGTATGCAAAAAAAAAAAAACACTTGATACCACCACTAGATATGCAGTAGAAATGCCTGGAAAATACAGTACCATTACAATAGCTTTCATGAATCAAGATTACTTCTGGAATTAGAAAGAGTGTTGCAGCTGAAAACGCACCTTGGCACAAACCATAGTTTTTTTTGTATTATTTATAAGGGCAGTGTGGTTTACAGGACTTGCATTGGTGTGTATTCAAATAGCAAAGCACAAATACAACACAAACCTTAAGAAAATTTCACTATGAATCAATCCAACATTCATAAATTCACACAGATCATTTGGGACACATGGGGGATTTGTCGTATTGCAGTTATGTAATGATGGATAGGCTGAAATGTTAAGATAACAAAACTAAGCATGCAGCACTCAGCACCTTCATCTAGTTGTAATTCACAATGGAAAAAAGGAACAAACCAACAATATCTTCATTTAAATTGTCTTCATATCATTTACACCAACAGAACAGTACCACAACTCTTGATATTCCAGGGGTTTCTCACAATCACCATAGAAAAATAAGTAAAATTGACACAAACGAATCTTCTGGAAGCTCTCAATTGGTCCAACACGAGTGGAGTGTGCACATGTGCCGTCTTGTCTGCCTACACATCCTGTGGTCTCTGTGTGGGTTGACAATACTTCATGCAAGGAGAAGAGATGAGTTTCAAGTACGAATCCAGTGCAGCCCAGTTTGAAATAGGGGACCAAAAGGTTGTACAACACATTTGTGAGTCTTTTTGTACTATAAGAGGCAAGGTGGGGAGAGGTCAGGTGAGGGTTGAAGCAGTGAACATCCTTCATCACAGGCCAGACTCAGTAACAGCCATCTTTCCAGGATTCATCAGAGATTTTGGTCATTCCCAAAGACCTATTAATGAAACAGGAAGATAGTTTCCTCTCACAGGGGAATCCAAACATCCAAATTGAACGATTTGCAAACTAGTAGAAATGATTAAAATGAACATTTCTCTACTATTTAACATTACCATTTAGGTGCTCACCTCCTCGTAGGCTGTGAAAGTTTACTCCTGGTGGATGCTGATGGTGCAGCCTGTCCTCGGCCCACCGCAGCTCTCCCCGCCCCAGTGGAGGCCCTTCCAGGTATGTAGGCTCCACTGTTGGCAGACCCCGGGGACTGGACCCTGCGACCCCTTTCTGCAGGTGGTGCTTGAACAACTGGCAGACCCCTGGAAGCCTGACGACCAGCTGCCATGGGAGTGACGGCTTTAACTGGAGCCCGCAGGGAGAGAGGGGACTGACCATTGCTACGCAGCCGACTAGAAGCCATCCCTTAGGTGGAAGAAAAGCAAAGTGGTGAAACAGAATCTCAACCAAAGACTGCTTTTTAAGACCACTTTAAATATCAGATAACTCCTCTTGTGGCTTGTAGGAGTTGAAGGCAAACCTGTGAGGTAGCAGTGCTGGATTACTGCAAAGGAATGGAGTCATCATGTAGCGGGTAAGTAAAAGGAGAGTTACCTGTACATCAGCAAAGATACATGGTCGGGAAAGAAGTAGGGCAAAATGCGGGGTTGGGAAGAATTAGACTGTCACGGTTAGATCAGTTCACCTGTTACGATGTAACTGGTGATATTAGACCGTTTTTGGAAGAGAGTAGCAGTATGAAAACTTCCCTACTTTTGTCTTCCTGTCAAAAAAATCTGGATTTGTTTTAATCTATGCACAATCACATTTACATTATATAGGTTATAGTTGTTTGCTGGTTTATTATGGGTCAAATTTGTTTATGAAAAAGTGCACACACTCTGAGTAAGCAACAAAACTCCTTGCATGCATCCTTAATAACTTACTAACATGCAGAATTAATTTTCCTGACTCTCTCCAAACTGCCTTTTCTGGTTCAGCGCTGTCCTCTGCAAAGAGTGAGCAACTATCAAAAACAGTGAGTATCATGTCACTCGTGTCCACATGAAAGATGTGTAAGCGTCATCAGTGCCTAAAAATCTTCCCAATTATTTGCTGTAGTCATGGAGAGGTTAGGAGGTGTTAGGGTAAGAGTGAGAATTCAATGGGCTGATGGCAGGGAAAAAAGCACGTGTTATGTCAGAGGAATGGTGCAGACCAGGTGAAGTGGGTAGGGTTACCTGTGGAGGGGGAGTGTGGAAGGCGGGACATGCGGTTGCCAGAGCTCTGGAGGTTAGCCTCCATGCTGCGGCTGTTTCTGACTGCCTCCAGGGAACGTAGGCTGGTGCGGGGGGCCAAATTAGGCATGCTGTGCCTCAACTCCTCTGGAACCACACATACAAACGGATTTAGCGACATCATCATGTGTGTCTTATACAGCCTAGATTCAAACAAGAATCTCTGTGGTGGTCACTCTGATCTTGACCTAAGCAATTGAAGCTGAATTATGAATTGCCATAGCCTACCCTCACTCTTGGCAAATTTCAGCAGCTCTGCACTTGGGCCCTGGAGAGATCTTCTGGGTGTTCTTGTGCGTGGTGCAGCGAGTCTGCTGTTGTATTCCTGACCGTGATTGGAGGTGGAGGGAGACAGGCACCTGGGTGAGCCTAAGGGCGAAGGGGTGAAGCGATGTCGTCGCTGGGGCATGGAGCAAAACTCGTCCTCTTCGTCCTCCAGGCTGTAACTGTCAAACTCCTGATCGCTGTATGTGCCACCACGGCGCAAGGACTGCAGGGAGGCTGTCGAGCTGCGGCGTGACACAGACGCTGAGCTGGAAGCATAATCCTGCCTCAGACCTGACAGCAAAAATATAAAGTTAAAAAAACCTGCATAAACAGGGAGCCAAGCGAATGCAGGCACATCCACATATAGGTACAAAAAAATTAAAAAGGTTACATAGTACTCATAACACTTATTGTTTCACTAACTGTGTTAGTTCAGGTGTTTTCCTTATCAGCTACATACCAGTAGTCTATTTTTCATTTGGGAACATAATCATATGCGACTTCCAGCATATCGTGTGCACAACACTCACTTTCTTCCTGCAGGCGAGCCATAATCTGGACATCAGTGAGGTCCTGCAGCTTGTAGCCCATAGAGATGGAGTCATCTGATGTGCTGAGCTCGCTGTCTATGGAGGACTGGGAGCTCAGCGCTGACTGCATGCTAGTGACACCTGTAAACAAAAAGAAAAAAAAAATGTGTTATAACATTGCCAACTAACTAAACAAATGTCACTACATTACCCAGAGTTTCTGTGAGTCGCCTCCGTTTGTGTTCCAGAGAATCACCTTCAAATGTCAAATAAATGTCAGTACTAAAAGAATGGTCAAACTGACCACAATAAGACACATTGGAATATGAGGCCAAAGTAAAGCTCTGTCTTGATCAATGGGCCCCTTTCATACCATTTAATTAGTTTGACAAACATTAGGCTATCACCTCTGTGTTGATGACCTAATGTTGGCTGCTCACTCCAGTAAACACAGTGTGTTAACTGGACTAAGCCACAAAGACTAGATTCTACACAAAGAATTGAACAGGGGCTTACTGACTAGAAATATTAAAACAAAGCACTTGTGTGCTATCCCATTTCAGGATACATTTAGATTGAAGTTCAATATTCACTCGGTGGATCTGCATTTTAATATTAGTTATACGACTACATCAATATTTGAGAAATTCTAAGGTGGGAAATCTTTGTTTTATTATCACATTTGCTGCATTTAGAAATCACAACTCTCCACCGGACTGCACTCCAGCCCTGCCCAGCAACATAGGTCTAGAAAAAGAGCGGTCTGTTAGCTGTATGCAAAGTCACCCTTCCAGGCATGTTTGTCTGATCCACGCCCAAACTCTTGACTGACACAAACAGAAGTGACTATAATCAACCAGGGGCATTTGGTTATGTAAGAAGTCCAGGATTAGATAAGAGTCATCACCCACAAGCAAATGCATTTACAAGTCCATGCAAAGAATTGTTACATACTTTCACTACGACATTAGCATTGTTGGTCTGTACACAGGGAAGTGCAACAATGAGGTATAAAATAAAAGGGAAAGTAACCAAAGATCAACACAGGGTTAGATCACCAACATTATACTTTTTTTTTTTTGATAGCTAAGCACCGTGAAACAACTTCAAAACACATGATTTCTATGCCCTACAGTCAGAATGTCATATGCTGTTCTTTATTGATGACCAAAAGTCTAAATATGATAAGTGTTTATTTATATCTGCAAGGCACACATTATGCCCACTCATTTGAAAACAAAAAGCAGATGAACTCAAGAAAAGCTAACAAGAGTGAGATTACATCTGTTAGTTTTCTTGATGAATCTATAACAGATCTATAATGGTTGTTGTCGTGATCTAAGGAAAGCTTGAGGGATGTCAGCAACATTTGTCATGCATTTAGCCTCCAAGTACAGGCTTGCTTTTTCCCTTTTTGGGTAAATTATTCCTTTCCACAATTTTCCACATTAGTACATAAGTATTTGTTGCTTTTGAATGGTAAACATTAAAAGAACAGCATACGCATCACATGTTTATCATGGTAAAACATGCAAGACTGCCATTTAGGTCACAAATTACCATTCAGAATCCACAAGAGGTCACATTGTTGATGCATTGGTGCACACACACACACACACACACACACACATCAGCTGACCTACATCCTTATTATAACTGACGTCAGCCCCACTGCCCCACACAGAAATTGAGGAGCACAGTGTGTTAATGTCATGCCATACCTGAGCTGCCACAGGTTAGTAGGGATTTGTTAGTTGATTTGTGGTACCCAGGAGAGATCAGGCCTGATGCTGAGCCTCCCTCTGCTGACGGGCTACTGTACATGTTCCTCCATCGAGACGCTGCAGGGAACAGGAGAGGAGAGAAAGGAACGTGATCAGAGAAGAATGTACACACTAAAAAGAGATGACATATAGAAAGAGACATGAAGAAGAGCCAAACATTGGTTTGGATCAAATGAAAGTACATCAATGGCCCCTTTTTGATCACACAAAAGCAACAACAGATGCAAAGCGGTTAGTTGTGGTCGAATTGCCTTTTTGGGCGGCTCCTTTGTTTTACAAAGGTGTGGCAGCACAAAGTTTAAAAGGGCAGGGTCAGGGTGAACAGAGATCCCAGGATGTGGTGATTAATAACTAACTGGTCTCACTGCTGTACAACAATGGGCCAAATAAAAGGAGAATCAACATCTCTGGGTTGTTGTCGGGGTTGTTACAGAAGGACACAATGTAAATGTGCACCATTGAACAAGTGTAGCTAGAAACAGATGGTGCAGGCCTAAACAGTGACAAAAACAATTGTGAAGCAGTTTAACATCTGATATTATTTTGACTGCATTTCACATAAAAAATGTCATCCAAAGTACAAAAAAAAAAAATTCCTAATCTTTTACAGACTGAGATAAAAGGTATTTTATGGGGCTGTCATGAAACGTGGATTCTTTTGTCCAACCAGTTGTAATAAGACATTTTTGATCTGAGAATGTGCCATAGTATTATCCAAAACCAAAAAAGCCACTGTGCTTCTTTTAAACGGTACAGCAGAAGGATGTGATCCTCAGGCTTTATGAGCTCTGGTAGTGTTGTGTCTAGCATACAGAGGAGAGTTAGAACAAACCAAACTGATGTGTGGAGAGGTGTGTGTGATTATATCGCAGCAGCAGGATGTCATCTGCACGTGATTTAAATCAAGGTAAACACAGTGAACTGATGCAATGAGAGGTTGCAAATGTGTCAACACATCCTGAAAGGAAAGAATTGAATCACTGAAGGAGAAACTTTTGTAAGTGCAGAGCCGTTTTCCCACAAAAAAATTCTCAAAGAATAAGTCAAATCACTTTTTAAATAAAAGACACCCGTCTACTTTTTGATGTTATTTTCAAGCAAAAGTTATAAAGTCAAACCAAAGCACCATTTTCATTCATAATGAAGTTATGAAATAAGTTCATTTAGAAAGCTTGATAGCTAACCATACAGTGTCTGCATATTGCTTCTAGTCTCGGTGTGAATAGCGTTGGCGTTCAGGTTCTGCAGTTTGCAAGAAGCCAGAGAAGTGGGTGGGATGAATAATATATGTGATCTGTTGGATTGGACACAAACTTCTGTCCACACATAAGAGGCATACACGCCGTGTACACATCACTCTGGCTTTGTCTTAGGACTAAAAACACACACAGAACTGTGCACACTCAAAGAGGAGGTGAGCAGTAAATAAGAGCACAGCGGCACGATTCACAGCAGGCGTTAAGACTCTCTCCCTGTGGCACCGACATGTGACTCAAAGATCTTCAGGTTCAAAAAAGTGTTCCATTTATAAAGGGAAAGAATAGAAAATCTAATAATCAAATATTTTGTCTGGGGTATTTCAAAGCGTCTCATGTGAAAATGAATGTATTCTTTAATTTAGTGCAGTGGTTCTCAACTGATGGTTCGGGACCCAAAAGTGAGTCGCGGGGCCGTTTTCAGTGGGTTGCGAATATGTGCTTGGAAGAACATTGCGTCAATAGTCTGTGAAGTGCTTTTTAAACATATTTGTTTTGTTCCTTTGCTCTGTCACATGTTTTGTACCATCTGAAGTCTATACAAGACAAATTTTCTTTAAATAAATCTGATTGGTTTAAAAATTTTTAGAAAATCGGGTGGCAATTTTTGATGGCGGGTCCTGAGGCCATACTAGTTGAGAACCACTGATTTAGTGCATACATTGGTCCAAGCGGCTGATAAGGGTCCGACAAGCCATTTCCGTCTCTGGACTGCGGTGGTCGAGAGCCTGCCGACACCACTTCAATGGAGACTCTGGGCCTTGATCTGCCACTTGCTTTTTGGGTGACACGTACAACCTGTAGGCGGGGAAAGAAAAAAAAAATTAAGAGAGGAAACGAGGGCAATTCCAACAAGTAAAACGGATTGGAAGAGTAATACAGGTTTCGGGGAAACTGAGGTTGGTGACTGCAGCTCAGGGCTCAAGCCTAATCTACTTTTTGTTAAACACTCTAGTCAAAAGTGTCGGTAGTTGCAGAGCAAAAGATTGGAATAAATACAAGCCAAAGATTAGTGTGGACTACTGGCCTCAATGGTATGCGTCCAATAGATTTGAGCATGCCACGCACAGTCTGAATGTTTTTCATCTTGTAAATCATAGGCATGACTGAGCATGGGCGGCACTAGCACCCTGCAACTAAATGCTTAGTTAAGGCAGCTTAGCACCACACAAACAAGCAGGCTGTTTAAACACGTTAAAGAATGATATCAGATCAAACGGTGTGAGTCAATACTGATTCACCTTTTAAACATCCTTATCACAGCCTGAGTCTGCTGCACTATGACTGCCTGTAGAAATGCAATAATCCTTTTTTGGATGAAAATGATTGTTATCCTAGTCAAACAGTTCAAATGTAGTATCAGAATTCAAATATGGCTTCATTTTAACTTGCAAAGCAGAAAAACCTTTCCATCAAATCTACCTAGTGGGTTTTTATGAAGCCACACGATACCTGACAAAATCAAAACTTGACTTTGTGTTTCCAAATCCAACTCCGAGATGTGTCAAGTGTTGAGTTGCCCACACGCTTTGAACGGGTGATCACATGGGCTGATCTTTTGAGTTGGATTCACAAAAGACGCTGACTGACCGGTTCTTTACCAATCAACTACAAATCATCCTCCCATTGGACAAACACAAAAGCACCCATTTCCCACTGAAACGGGCAACAATACAGGGAGCAAAATTCAGGTCACACATCCGTCCATGGAGCAAATCTTTCCAGTGTGTGTGTGTGTGTGTGTGTGTGTGTGTGTGTGTGTGTGTGTGTGTGTGTGTGTGTGTGTGTGAGAGACTACTTCTTTCATACACAGGGTTTCTGTGTTTGATGGAATAATGACGTGCAGGCTGCTTGAGGTTGATCCATTCACACGTGAGTTTTGGTCACAGGTTTTCACCAGGCTGTTGCCATTCACACAAGAAACCGGTCTGCATCAGCAGTTCCATTAAAACCAAACCTAACCAATAAACATATCAAACCAAACATAAATCTATGTGGCGAAGGGATCTGGTGATTTTAAAAGCAGCCTCCGTACAATATTCACACTCAGGAGGGGAAAAAAATGGAGCTACATCCCCGGTTGGTTGTAAAAATGTGTTCATTGATTTAAAAGATTTAAAAGAACATTTTACTCTTGCTAATTTGCTATTTCTCACCTGATATCTCATAACTGATTTATTCCCACATTTACAATAAAAATAGTATTAAATTGGTAATCAAAGCATATGTGTGGGACAACACGCAGATTCAACATTATTATATTCATATTAACTCTTACAGTACTTCTTTAATCATAAATCATTCCCATATTGTTGTAATTTAGGAATATGTTTCTTGCTTTCAGTTTTAAACTAGGAGGCTTGAGTCTGTGTTAAGAATGTAATTGGCTTTTTGCTAAGCTTAAGAGTTCAATAAGCCACATTTCAATAGGTAAACAAAGATCCAAGAGGAAAATAGGCCCAATTTAAGAACAAGGTGGACATTCATCCTGTAATTTTGACTTGAAGGTGAAGATATTACCTGCCAAGTCTAATTAAGAATAAAAACAGATCTCTCTGTTGCTCTTAGTTCTGGAGTTTCTGTCTGTGTGTCATGCAGCTCACACAACAGGGGGGTGCCTCTGATCACATGCTGTGCAATCCCACCCAAAGCAGTTTAGCCATGCGGCAGCATCCAGCCCAGAGCAGATCAGATTATGTTGCCGCTGGGATTACAACATGTTTTGGCTATGATAACCTCACAAAGCACATATGGTATGGCTAATGATGGGGAACTGAAAATAAGTCATGAATGGTCTGCCTGTTAAGCTCTTGGACTAAAGTAGGCATCAGGAACACAACATGGTTCCTGTTCAAAGACATTTAAACAAACTAGCTGGAGTGATCTCAAAAACAAAACACAAGTTATCAGTTACAGACCCTTTGTAATGTTCGTTTTGTTGAATATATTCTGCCATGTCAATGAGGAAATGAGTTCAAATTGTTTCTAAACAACATAACCTGCCTTCAGGAGAACTAATGCAAAAGTAGCTTAGTTGATCCTCAGCTCGTTTTGTACCAAGGCTTAGAGAATGCAAATAAATGCTGAGTCAAGCGACATTAATAACAATCATTTCTGAAATATAACACAGCCTCTGCCTGGAGCATTAGCATTCCTAGACTTGTTGGCATGAAAAGGGAATTATTGCCTGACAAACAGGTTATGATCATTCATGCCTCATGTTTACCAAGTCGAGAATCAGGAGACGAACAACAACCTCACACTGTCACACTGCTTCTGAAATTATTTACTTTTGCGACCTGCCCTTTCTTTCTTTGTCCGCCTTGGCGTCGCGTCGCTGCCTTTTGTTCCATACCTAACTAATTTACTCCTTATTACGATAGAAATTCAGAGTTAGGGATTGAAATGGTTGTTGCAGCTGAACAAGGCTGCAACATGGGATTTTGTGGCTAAGAAAATAATGCAGTTTCTATCTTGCTCAAAATAAGTCTAACTTTAAATCCAAATAATCTAAAGCTACAGTAAAGCACACAGTCGCTGCCCTGAGGGGGACGAGCACACTTTCAAATCAGAGGTTAAATAAAAAAAAAGAAAAGCAAATGTGACTCATCTGGCTAAAGGGACTCCTCTATCTATACACAAGGGAATGGAAAATGCAAACTTTAAGTGTTGCATCCCTCTAGTTTGTGTTAAGACAAATTTCCCCTGAAGCTAACTCATATGAGCTATTTCATATGATGAAGAGAGCTTGGTATCTCTCTCATATCTGCAAAAGTGTAAATGCAACACACTAGTTAGTCTAGTAACGACAGAAAGCACATGTTGGATTGGACACAAGCAGTATCGATGATGAAACGTACCAACTGTCCTCGTCCTCAATTTCTGCACACTCATCCTCCAAATCTAGGACATCCACCTCATCCAGTGCGGTTTGGTCGACCCCTGAGTCGCTCTCCGCAAGTGTCTCTGACTCATAACTTCCCTGAGAGGGGCTCTCTGGCGTCTGGCTTTGCCCCAGCGACATTCCCCCTCCGTTGCTGCAGGTCAAGGTGAGAAAGCCCCCGCACGGACCCTTTTCATCCTCTTCTACTTCCTCCAGCCTGTTAGCCACGGGCAGGGGGGACATGTCTTCTCCGCTGCTGCTGTCCTGCGGGGTCAACAGCTCAAAGTCTGTGCTGCCACTGTGCTCCAATCTGAGGTTGGAGTTGGTCATCCCTTCGCAGGTCTGCGTCTCGTTGATATTGACAGCAGCTGTGAGGTTGCCGTTCCCGCTGGAACCTCTGTTGATAATGGTTTTGCTCCCCCTGGTGCGCAGGGTCTCATTCTGGACCTCCAACCTCCGAACGAGCTCCTGCAACTTTCGGACCTCCTCCAACTCCACCCCTGCCAGGTCTTGACCATCGTCCACTTCCTCCTGGCACCCAGGATCGGAGCTCTCCAGGAGGCCATTGGGACTGCCAGGGTCGGGTTGTGGGACCACATTGGCACTGTCCGGGACCACCATGCTCCTACTCTATCGGAAAGAGGAAAGCAAAAACAATAACATTAACATGAGCTCAAAGCTTAAAAATGGACCATAAGGAAACTCTGGTTATTTTTGCTGAACACTTCAGCATTGCACGGGCTCTATCTTGTCAACAACTTCACACATTACAGGCATGTTTACAGTAAAGTGTTTCCATCTTTTGTTTTTGGCCCGGTGAAGCAGACTCGTCGATTTCTTCAAACCTTCACTTGTGTTTACATGAAGCTGATCAATTCTCTCTCTCTCTCTCTCTCTCTCTCTCTCTCTCTCTCTCTCTCTCTCTCTAGTACCGCTGCTACCTCCACAACTGTATTTAATGTTACTGTTATAAGAAGACAGCTACCGAGGATGCTGCACACACTCACATTTACCTCCAGACTTCGAGCCTGCAGCAGCTTTGTTATCGTACTTCCAGTCCTGCGTGTACACCTAAGTCAACGTTAGCCTAGTTAGCTTGCCATCAGCAAAAACAATCGTACCGGTGAGTGAGCCGTGTTGTCCTGGTTGTCCCAGCGAGATGATGACTGAGGTCTGCCCGCCTCCGAGTGCTCAAACTCCTCCGGGCACCGACGACCGCATGAATGGGGCAAGCTAATTACAAACTCCCTGAACTGCCGAGTCCGAAAGCTTGATAATGATTGTCGAAGCAGCTCAAGTGAGTCTCACTCAGCTAGTCCATGTTTCCATGTTGCTGGAGCAGCATCGTCGTTAGCGTTCATTACTGCTAACTAGCTTGTTGATGGTCTTTAGTTAGGCCAATGAGCAGACCTGCAGCAGCACTCGCCCCTCCCCCTACGGGATGTCCCCATGGACTGCATTTTCTCTGTTATTTGGCGCCCCCCTTAGGGAATACAAGGTACTGCAACAACATCTCTTTGTAGTCTATGTTGTGGCCATTGGGTGTCGCTGTTTGCATAATTTGCCGCAGTAAAACTGTAAACCCCAATAAATCTTCTGTCCTTAACGAGGATTACCAGTGATTCTGTTTAAGATAGCCTGCTAGAACTTAATCTAATTCACTCCACTGCACTGCAGGACAAGTATCTCGAAACATTTGCAATACAACATTTAAATCTCTTCGAGATATTTGAATAACTTAAATATGGATTGATTTAAATGTGAGCCATTCAATTTCCCTTATGACAAAGACAAGACAAAAACAGCTTTCTGCTTGTAATATAATAACAGAAAAAAAATATACATAACAAATAATTGGAACATGCTAAATTACGTAATTTATTAATGCTATACAAATGCACATGTTTTAAACACAAGACAATTTGCATTAAGTAAAGAAAACTGTGACTTCAATTTTATTTTTTGTATTGCTGTTTCCCACAACTTATGTGTTGTCTTATTATGTGCAGAGGGTGCTGCCTGCTGGTTTCATATCTCTGTGTTTGTTGGATGAGGTAGAAAAAAACCTGTATAACTAGTTTGCGAGAAACAAGTTGACACAGAGCACATGTGTTATACACAGCATGCAATAAAAACACAGGTAGAATGGTTAACAATGTATATCCCTGTCACAGATTAATGCTGTAGCATAAATCACTCGTCAGTGTTTTGTTTTATTTTTCTATATATTGCTCTGTGTAATTGTAAGGTTGCTTGCACAGATCATAAGCCTGTCACTTCCTCCTGTCATCATGTCCTCAAATGCTCTTTCTCTTCTTGCAACTAAGTCGGTTGTCAGAAAAAAGCATACACCTGATAATTGGCTAGGAAAAAAATTGCATATACCATTTATTTCTGCAGATTCACATAAATTGTGAACCTACATAATCTTAGTATCCTTATTCCACCCAAAGAAAACTATTTCACTCAAGCTCGTACATGCGGCTGTGAGCCAGTTTCAACACGCTTGTTATGGGAAAAATGAATAAATCACAGCCTTCTTCTCTCAGACTTTCTTGAGCAACCCACATGCGTAGTGTGAGGGAAGAAAAAGTTATCAGCCCCTGATCCATGTGATGCATCTTTAAAGGGTCTCCTAAGCAGCCTAATACTCAAAGGGCACAAGGGTTGTAGCAAACATTAGCTTTGAATGTGACACATAGGCTTCCAAAAACTGAATACATTTAATGAAGTCTCATATTTGGATTGTGGAATGTGCACCGCCTGCAGCACATCAACTCTCTTTTCTTCAGCAGGCTTAGACCTGTTGTAACTCCAGGTGGAGGAGGTTTCACAATGTGGGTAATTCACAACCTACTTTAACTGCTATCAATAATATGTAAGTCATGAGCAGCCCAAGGCACATAAATCGTTTGTTCTCAAAGAGAACAAAAACAAGAAAAAACAAGAAAAAACTTAGAATAAACAGTCTTTGCTTTATCATAAACTACAAATTAAATTAAACAACTGTAAATTAGAAATATTTGGATGCCTTTATTGACAATAACCTGAGTTTTATGAAGGCGAAATGCGTTGTCTGTTCGAGTTTGTAAATAAATACAAAGAAGACGTAATTCATCGTCTTGTGTGCGCTGAATCTTCTCATTTGCTGTCAAGATGATGTTTCCTGCCATCACCTGCACCAGGAATGACAGTGCTGTGCACAGGGAATCCACTTTAGGTTTGTCCACACTTGTTCACTAAATGGGCTCAATTTTCCTTTTGTGTTAACCGAGTACCTATCAGATAAAACATATTAGTCTTTGTTTTTTAGCTTGTTTTGGGTGAATAGTTTAATATTTTAACTATTTAATGGTAAACAGTTCATGAATGTGACCACAACTTAAATTCCTGTGCTTTGTTTTCACACCAAATAACCAACAGTGTTACAGCGTGTCTGAGTTCGAAGGGAACTTGTTCTAATAATTGAGCCCTACAGCTGAACTAATTTTTTTTTTTAGCATTAGGTTAAAAAATCTTGGATAATGTCCAGTTAAAATAAAAAAAATCTTCTTCCTTATAAAATCTTTCCTAGTATACTTAACACAACAAAGATGGATTCAATGATGACTTTGCAACTCAGAAAAACATTTTTCATACATTTTATTAAAAGTAAAATATCATTTTATGGATTCATTTTCAGAACATGTCCTGTATGGCACAAATTACAGACATAGTTATGGTTTTATTAACAATTCAGTGGTTTTAATTTCCATTTATAAAATAATTTTCTTCTATTTATGAACCATGACCCTTCCAAATCATTGTTTTACACTGCTCAGCCCCCCTTAAACTGCATAGCAAAGGAAAACAAATCACCCATTGCAAGAGTTTAATTGATTATAGACAGATTTTTCCCAAACACCATACACTGTTTCAAATCAAACATGGCTGCACAGAACACAGAGGAGGAAGTGGAGATGATGGTCAACATTCTTGAAAGGAGGAAGAGCAGCCCAGAAGTCAATGAGAGAAATTATTTTTTGCTCTTTTCAGGGCACATTTGGGCCTTCTTCTCCTCGTCAATCTCTGTAAAAGAATGAAGGACAGACAGACAGAGATAGATAGACATTATGTGATCATTTTTTTAGGAGACCAAAAATCAGTTCTCAATTCTTGTCAGGACAAAAAACAAACAGATAAAGCACCGTGATAAATCACTTTCATCCAATATTAACGGATTTTAAACTGCTACTTTGATGCCATACCACAGAACAATTCCACTCTGAGGTATTGGTTGGTTTGATACTAATAATCTGCCAAGACTTCAAGTCAATGGTAAAGTTGTTTTTTTTCCTCTCTTAGATTCTCTCTTAATTACCAGGCATGTTTTGACAGGAGTTCAAATATTTTAAGAGCTACTGTGGCACAGAAGATAAGACACATTTTTTTATCTTTCATTACAAAATTACCTTCCTAAAAGATGTCTGGCACTTTTTAAAGCAACGCTCAGCTTGCGTAACAGACTCAGAGTTTTCTTAGTGTTTAAAGATATGGTAATTATACAGAAACGTATATGTATCCTAACATAAGCCTCTGGCAATAACCAGACCAAGTAAAGCTGTGAACATAGCTAGAGACACTGTTAAAGAATAATAAAAATCAAACATGCATCAGCTTTGCCAAGTACTTCTGTACGAATGCCAAGAGTGTCTCACAACCAACATAAAGACTGTTGTTAGTCTTGATAAAGACTATCAAGAATGAGTCAGGAGAGATCTGATTTGAAGATTTCTTTATCTCTAAGTCCATTGTTCCCGCTGCTTCATGTTCGAGCACATCTTGGGTGAGTAATCTCTACAGTGCAGCACATTATTCTGGCATCAAACCCATTTCCTATCAACTGACTGTATTCGATAACTCTGCTGGAAAACATAAGAGGTTAATTTGCCCAGCATAGCCCTTTCATACACTGACTGTACCTTCTAAAAAAGTAGAGATTATGTGATAGAGAGATATTTTTTGTTGTTGCAGCGTACTCTTAACAGGTTAGCACAAAGCTGAACAAGAACAAGCACAGAGGTAGCTGGGCGTGAACCTACAAGTAATCACTGACACAACGTTTGATGTTGCCCTTTCCTTTTCACTCTGAAACACTTACGGCACTGTGTAGGGAGTGGATTTTTTTCTTTCGTGACAACCTTCTTCATCTGTTTCGGATCATAGCCCTCAATCCCACTCCTGAGTTCATTTTGAGGGTTTTTGTCTGACATTTTCAAAGATTTCTAATGGAGAAAAAAGAGAGAGTAGAAGTGAGCTTAACATTTCTTAACACGTCAAAATACAGAATTTCAAAATCACACACACGAGGGTTTTAAAAGATTGCATGTGAAAGCAATAACCTGTGACCAAACAGTACTGGGAGGCACCGTCACAAGTCACAACATGCACCAGCTTCAGCAACTCCCTCACAATTAACCAACCACTATGGTACAATGTTTACACTGTAATATAATTTACTAGTATTGATGCAACAACGGTGCTCACTGGAATTAAAGGAAACATGCAGCCAGGACAGTGGTTTACCTAAATGTGGGGTCTTAAAGATAATCATAATATTTCCTAACTCGAAAATGTTGTCATTCCCGTTTATAACGAGTGTGCATGGGAAAGTTTGACGGTGACATCACATATTTCCGATGCGCATGAAACGACATCAATAAAACGTTGATTTTGCTCAATGGATATGTGCAGAACAATAGACTGAAAGGAACTACACTAGCAGGCCTGTTAACCACAGGTTTGCATGAAAAATCAACTTCAGTCGATTAAATCACACATACAGTAAGTATCACCCTCTGCAGAGACATTACGGAGTGAACAGTTAACTTGCTTGAAATGGCCTATAAAAGAAGTATTGCACAACACTTAGGTTACACAGGAATAATTAAACCATGCTTACGATATTTGCTTTTTAATCACTAAGTTTCTTTCTGAACGGTAGAGACAGTCCAAAGTATTTACCTGGAGAGCGGATGCGCTGTGACGATGTTTTACAGGTAGGCTTCTGTAAAGTGCGTCTGTGTAATCTGTGTAAATCCAGAGGTTTAAATAGAGACAACACGCCCTTCTACACGCCAACATGGACTCGGATGCTCTGCCTCTCATTGGCTCCTTAAACCCTGAGGAAGCATTTTGATTGGACACGCGTGTAACTGATTTACTCAAATTTCACAAGCGGCTGCCGATCAGTGTTGTTTCTGGATTCATAATTTGCACCTCCCGTTACAGGCGTGGACCGTGCAACCACTGAGCGTGTGTGTTCTCAAACAGGAATCACCGCCAAAAAAAACGTGTGAACATCCAAACAGTTTTCGATATACCATACATTCAACAAATTAAATTATACAACTGTCAATTAGAATTATTTGGATGCCTTCATTCACAATAACCTGAGGCAAAACGTGTGTTTGTTTGAGTATGTCAGTACATAAAAAGGAGAAGTCATTCATCGTCTTGTGTGCGCTGAATCTTCTCATTTGCTGTCAAGATGATTTTTCCTGCCATCACCTGCACCAGGAGAATGCACAGGGAATCCACTTTATTGTCCACACTTGTTCACTAAATTGATGTGGGAAGATTTCACACATTTTCTAACGCACAGTACCCTCTAGTGGATTTGTTATGGCATGACATGTTTCGAATTTTTATTCTAAACAATAAGAAATGAAGGAAAGTGCATGTCTATTCATATTAATCAAAGACAAGCAAAGGTCTGCAGTAACTATTAAAACAGGGGTCACAAGAAGTTATATTTTCCTTTCACTGGTAAACCATTTTATTATTGTATCCTGCATTCCATTGGCATTACAGGTTTGATGAGAGGCAGACATCCTCCTGCATAAGTTAACAGAGTATCACAGTGATAAATAGGAATTTAATTTATTACATTCATGTATATGCACACCTATGCTGACATACAAGTACCTCACATTAACGTCCCAGCTTGCAAACAGATCTTTACCCTGGACCTTCTTGCTGTGTGGCAACGGAGCTGACCACAGATTCCTGTGTTATTTGTTCTAATAATCTAATTCAAATGTAATATTTATCTCATACAGACAAGTAAAAAACACCTTTTCAATACACATAGACCATGCATCAACCTCATTTACCCACTTTGGAGGACCACCAAGGATTTAGTATTGCACTGAAAGTGGGGAAATGTCCTGATACTGATGTCAATTCAAGTGGTACCAGAGACTGACAAAGGGTTCTATCCCTTTAAATTATAGATTTCCCTTTTGCCATGATGAAACTGATTTGTTTGATCAAACATGCCTGGTAGAGTAAATAATCATCATTCCAAAAACCGTTCTGTCTGTTCATCTTAATGCTATACTGTATGTAAATAAAGAAATAAAAAGTTCCTTCTAATAAAGTAAAGCTCCTTCACAGCCACAGTAGATAATATTCAACCTTTTTACAGGGTGAGCAATGATTGCATGAATGTGCTGATAAGTGTGGAGAATAACATTGGAGGAATTATCCTTTAAGAATATAAAAATACAAGGCACCTGTGATTTACCAGTATCTTATGAGCACCAACAACTTTTGGTCATCACTTCAAGTCCTGATAGTGGTGTTTTTAACTTTTCCTGCATTCTGACTTCCAAAACTAATGCCTGAACACTTAGGCAGTGTTAGTTGCTTTGAACCATATAGAGAATCAAGTACTTGTAGCTGCATTGACAATTTCTATTAATCTGTGTTTTTTCACAGGAGACATTTGACATGATAAAGCAGGAAAAAACAGGTGTAGCCTATAACAATAAAATGACATGCCTGAGCTCCGTTCAGCTACTTCAGTTTCAGAATCCTATTGTGCACACTGGCTCACTGTCAGGACACTCTAACAGAACAGAGCTTTTGGCAAAGTTTGATTAGAAATTGTGCTTTTTCCTACCAGAACATGTCAGCTTGGAAAAAGGCATATTGGGTATGGCACCTGCAAAAATGATTCCCTTGTGCATTAATAAATGTGTGGAGGAGCAATGTTTACAAACATGTTCAGAGGAAGCATTTACAAGAAAATTAAAGGAAGAATGTGCAACAATGTAAATGTCTCTCTGAGTCATGACTGTCTAGAATGAAGCGCGAGTCCCACTGGCTGTGTTGTTGTCTGAGCCGTATTTACATCACGGATTGATCGGCTGGCTCATCCCCGGCGTAAAACTATTTAAGTCAAGGACTGGAGAAAAGAAGAATAACATAAACTACTCACTGCTTATTTGAATGTCAAGTAAGCGTTTTAAGATCATTGTCATTCTGTGTCAATTTACAGGCAATGTGAAGCTACAGGCTAACTAAAGTGTGCTAACATTAGCCTGCAAACACAACAATGCAGACCACAGGCAATTGCAGATCGAGTAAAGGATGCTGCTTGCACTTGATAGTGTTTACTTCCTTCCTGTGAACGTGAGGAGAGCGGGGTTGGAGGTGGGTCTCTGGGGGAGAGCAGAGGCTTCACTATTGCGGAGGTGTCATGTAACAGCAGTTTTTTTTTGGTTTCATTCTGGTGCTCAAGGGTGACATTTACTGGATCAAAATATCGCATGTTCTTCATTTAATTTTAAAATTAATGCTGTTATCCAGTTGATAATCAATTGAGAAATATGTAAAATAGTCATATCTTGAAGGGATCAAAAAACAAAAACAAAAAAATAACTCAACAGTATCTGGTCAGCCGGAAGGTTTCTGCTGGCTTTCATAAATGGCATTAGTGATTCCCCAGGTGATGCATGATCTCAGAATAACCAGAGAACCTCCTCGGTACAGCAGAGCTACACTCCGCTGCCGAGATGTCCACAGCATCCTCCAACATGCTATGACCCCTTTTCCTTCCCTTGGCCCCACCTGTGCCTGCATGTTTGCCACCAGGACAGACAGTGGGTAGAGAGCCAGGCTGATTGCCATGGAGGTCACGGCCCCTGATATGAAGGAGGAGATCATTGGAGGGACTCCCTGTCCCTTCAAGACAGCAACTACAGGACCCTTCAGGCCAAAGTAGAGGGAGCTGCCCAGAGCGTTGCGGGCAGTGATAGGCAGGAAGGCTCTGTAGAACCCTATAGCAAGTTTCTCTGACCTCAGCCTCACAAGAACACTCTTCATGGTGGGCACATGATGGTCGTTTTGGCCATTTTGCAACACATTCTGGACACGCTCAAAGGGGGTAAAAACCATTGCTTCCACAATACCTGCTCCAAAACCAGCCAGAGCAGACCTGGCAGAGGCAGAGAGGGCATTTTGGGATGACAGGGAGAGCTGATGGAGGAGGTTTTCCTGGAGGCCAAAGAGCAGTGTACCATTCAGTGTTCTCATCAGCAAAGGAGGGACCACGCCCCTGTAGAGCTTTACTGGACCCTCTTTGTAGAGCTGTGCCACTGCCAGGTGAACTGGGGTGTTGTGGAGTTGTTGACGGAAAATAGTTTTGTAGACAGGGAAGACGACAAGAGCGGGGAGGGCTGATACCAAGCTGGAGATCCCTCCATGTAGAAAGGCCTGGAAAGGAGCCCTGGAGTCCCCAGGACCCTTCTCATGCAGGTTTTGGTCATGACTTTCTGCCATCCTTAAACTGAGAAAAATTGGAAAAAAATTAAGTAATGTAATTGTTGCCCTCAGGGGGGGACGCTGTCATTGTGATGTTTGGCAGTGTTACGTTATTGCTTTATTCATTGTGTAATTGTTCTGTCCTCTGCCTGCCAACATATTAATAAAAACAGCAGGCTATAAATCTACATGCCCTGATGATGTTATTCTTTATATAGCCTGCCTATCAATTGATTTTAAGTGCAATAAACACGGACAATATCCGACCGCATTTTTTCCAAACAGTGAGTGAAAGATTAGTCAGCCATAACAACGGCTTTCATGTAGTTTTAAATTTTGGATACTAAGGCTATAACAAGGTGTCATTCTCTAATAGATTTGATTTGAGATGTACATGATTCCTAACAAAACATCCCAAAACACCTGTAATGTTTTGAATATGCAGAAAGTTATGAACAATACAGTTGAATAATTCATAGTGATCCAAAAATAATTATAATTTCCTATACATGGTAAAGAAATTTCCGCCATAAATTAATTCAGAAAAAGGCACAAATTGTTGCAGAAAAAATCCCCAGAATGCAGGAAATGAAGTGTTTGACGCTCAAAAATTTGTCCCCCCCTAATGTTGAATCCAAACATACGCCCTTGGTAGCCCTGGTACAGAACAGACGCACGGAGTGGGACAGTTATAGGAAACGGAGCAGTCTGGTTTCAGATCTGTTCGACTAATAGTAAAACTGAAAGCAAAAAATACGTATAGAAGGATGCAAAGTAAAATTAAATAACTTGGACAATTGTATGTGTGATCATAGCTCGAAATTTAACTTACCAAGGCAGTACAACTGTAGAAAATGTAATTCTTGATGTGCACTTCCAATTTTTCTATCTCATCATTTCGACATAATGGCGTCAAAACGTCTGCTTTCCCAAACAGAACACGGTTAAGGCAGTGTCCGAATATTCGTCCAGCGACAATGTGAACTCGTTTTCCTGACGTTTCAGACAAGGGCGGACAATTTCACGGTTTAACACCGACCGGCGATGCGTTACGGTAGTCAGTTAACAGAAAGCACTGAGCGGCTCTGCGATTGTCCCGCCTCTTCTGGAATAACGATTGGTTCAAATCAGAGCTCCTGATTGAGTCGTGCTGCCTCTCAGTCAGTGATTGGTTACTGTGTCTATCAATCAAAGTCGTTCATTTCACGGAACATGAGCTGCTTTATGGGAAAGCATAGAGGTTTATATACAGCCTATGCATAGCATTACATTCATTATACATTAAGGCAAGTTATTCTTGAGTTAGATTTTTTTACTTCATATTTTTTTTAACATAAAATTTGAGGCAACAAATCTAATGATTAGAAGAACGTATTAGGTTATTTGTATCTATACACGTTTCATAAAGTAAAATAAATGAATTGCATTGCACACTTTCCCTGTAACATATGCTAATTTAAAAATCAAAGCAAGACCATGGGTGTATAAATATTCAGAGCATATGTTTTTGTAAAACAGGTATA